CTACCGTAGTGGCAAGTCCAAATTACTCGACATGTTTCATTCGGAAACATTGCCAACTTAGTTCAACTCTATCATATGGTAAGTATAATTCAAATCTACCATATGATAAGTGCAAGTTATTCATCATGTTTCATTCGGAAACATCATCATAAGACTACTTCAGTCCTGTTGCAAAAATATCACCAACAATAAAAACCAAATCAAGCTAGTGTTTTATTAAAACTTCGGCTAATATTGTATAATTCTTAAAAAAAAAAAAAAACTAATGATAAAAAAACTTTAGATTGCAAGTGTTCCAAGGTTGTGGCAACTCTTTGCCATCAGTGTCTTCAAGTCGATATGCCTCATTGCCGGCAATCGAGATGATTTTATAACGCCCCTCCCAGTTTGGGCCAAGTTTGTCTTCCCTGGGATCCTTTTTATTGCCGACGAATTTTCTAAAGACGAGGTCCCCAACCTTGAACTCCCTTGGGTTGACCTTCTTGTTATAAGCCCTAGCAAGTTGCTGCTGGTATGCCCCCAGCCGAATTGCTACTCTCTCCCTTTTCTCCTCAAGTAGGTCTAGATCTCGGGCCAAGAATGCCCCGTTAGTCTCATTCTCTATTCCTTGAGTTCTGATCCCTGGGATGCTAGCTTCTAGCGGGATAACTGCTTCTGTGCCATAAGCCATGGCAAATGGGGATTCCGTAGTTGATCTTCTCGGCATAGTCCGATATGCCCAGAGTACATTGAGCAATTCTTCCACCTATTTTCTATTTGCTGCGTCCAGCCTCTTCTTGATCCCATCCAAGATAGTCTTATTGGATGCTTTTACCTGACCATTACTCCGAGGGAAACTTGGAGTGGAGTAATAGTTCTTGATTTTGTACTTTACAATGAAGCTTTTGATTAGCTTACTGTCAAATTATGTACTATTGTCTGTTGTTACCTCGGTTGGACGACCAAACCTGACAAGTTAGTTGTTTTCATGGACTCTGACCTTCGAGACATCAACCAGCTTGAGGTGTCTTTCCCTCCAAAGCCCGAAGTTGATGCCGAGGATGATACAACTGATGAAATAGAGAAAGAGGCTGCCACTGATCCCAAGTCTCCTACCCTCAACGAGCAAATAGACTTAACTCAAGATGAGGAGGATGACTTGGTTTCCAAGGGCGTCTCTCCCAA